CCAATAGCGTACTCACAAGTTATCAGTTTTCCGGGTTAAAGAGTGAGTGGAGAAATGAAGTGTCAGGTGTTAGATTGTATGGTCAACTGAGCCTCATCACCGAGAATCTTTCAGATTGACATGAAATTCACAAGAATGATTAACCCCAACACAATTTACAGTATTTTATTATCAGTAAGTGGTTTATTTAGTGGTAAAGTTTAAAAAAAAAATGGCTGCGGCTGAACTGTCCATTATAAAGCGACTGAAAAAGGAGCTGGATGAGAGTCTTGCGGTGAATCAGGAGACTTAATGAAGATTGGCAAGGGTACTGCTGGGTACTATCCTTCTAAATGACTGAAATGGCATACAGATAATTTTTCAGTATATTGCCTTGTGACCACTTCCATTAGTGGTAGGTACGAAATGAAAAATGACAAACAAATGTAACGGGCTTCAGAAACAAGAAAAACGTTAATAACATCTAGAAGTGAACCGATTTTATATTTTTATGTAACCATTTGTAAAAATCAAAGGGAAAATGACGATTTCCGGAATTTCAGAAAAAAATTTCGGCTTGCTGAGTCAATTATTTCTAAACAGAATCAGATCAATATTTAATATTTTTCAAGATTTTATTTTCTACACCAATTGTAGTATTAAGACCAATATATTTTAAATAAAATACATTTATCGTTACAAACCATTTACTTATTAATTTAATATTTAATTAAAATTAGGCACTTTATAGAGACTCCCTATTCCAGGATTGATCCATGGCTTATGACCAAAAAAGGATAAATTAAAAGGTAATAAAACAAGTTTTATTAAATATAATTTTCTATCGGATTTTTTTCTTGTTGTGCGCCTGGCTTTACCAGCCTTTCATCTCTAAACAGATACATCTAGAAAATATAATTTACTTACCCATTATTTGGTCATCATTAAATATTTATTCTACTAGGCTAGCTCAGGTGAGAAGGGGTTAAGTTGGGTATTTTTTATAAATAAAGAAAGGTTAAGAGATCTATTTACTGAAAGAAATATTTACAGAATTAATACTATTCACAAGCAATATAAATGAAATAAAAGGAAAAAGAGAGAATTTAAACATAATTACTATATGCAATTAAAGATAAACTAGAAGATAATAAAAATGATACTTATTCTATATACAATAGTATGGCATGCCACATATAAACATCAAGAAACGATAATCAAGATATAAGATATAAGAGCACATGCACATGCAAAAAAAAAAAAATTAATAATTAGTCACTGGAAACAAAAGAGAGAAAAGTTCTATTTTCTTTAATGTTTCCTTAATCTTGGTTACCGGCTGATGACAAATTACTCGACATCAGACGGATTGGAAGCCGGGACTCAGCAGCTATTACACCTCAGCAGTACAGTGCCTAGCCTAACTCACTGCCCCAATCCACTTTCTATTTTAAATTATAATTCTAACACATATTTCCCAAAATCTCTGATTATTTAAATATTAGTTAAAAACCGCTGAATCTTGAATAGTGCCATCTTAGAAAAAAAAATCAAAGAATACTTAGGAAATTCGAATTTTATTACATTTTTGAAGAAAAAAAAATCCGACTTTAGTAATACATTTATATTCAGTTTTTTTAATGCTTAAGTTCATTTTTGAAAAAAAAAATATAATCGCACTATCGGATTTATTAGATGTTTTAAATAGGAGACGATACTTACCCTCATTTCCAAATTAATTGATTGAAATTCAACTTATAAATAATCTACTCATTTCAGCTAAAACGCTGTAGCTCCTAGAGTAACGTTTCTGCGCCTTCAACATCAAGTGCGACTATTTTGAATGATATTATGAAGTTGCTGAACTGTATATCCTATTGCGCCTGGCCAGCCCAGTCCACCTTTATGAAGTTGAAACACTAAATTTAGATTTTCAAAATTTCTTCCCCTTGATTTTGTTAATTAGAAATAACTAAAGCTCTTGCATCGTTAGCAGTAGTATACAATGGAATTTGAAAATTAACTATAGATGTGCTACTAATGATTAGCTCCCTCACAAGAACTTATCATATATTCTTATACTAAATTAACTTGTATTTATTTATACAGTTGTCAATAACAATAAATAAATGTTTTTAAAATTAATAACTAAAGGAGAAAATGAAAAATATACATGGGTAGATTGAACATAAATTTACTGGAATAAGATGAGTAATTTAGATGTATAACATACCATTGGAAATCTAACGCTTTTAGAAAAATGAATATCTAAGATATAAGGTCACTGGTGGGAATGGTGTCTAGTTAATAATGTCTACCATTATATTATCAGATGGAAATTAAAAATTTCCGTAGATAATATATAGAAAACGTTATTTTGTTTTCAGTATGTTAAACAAAAATTATGTATATGGTGTCCATAATTATCTTAATTTATATTTATATTTTGTATTTTAAATTAAAGTTGAGGTTTATTATTTTCAGAAAAATGAACTTCTAATAAAAGTGGGATGGTAAGTGAAAGTTGAGTGATGAAAACAGCATTTTTTTAATTATTTTTTTTTTTTTTACAAAATCAAAACGAAATACAGATTTATTATTTTCCTTTCTTTAAACGACCTTAGTAATTAAAATAAGTCTGGGAAGAAATGCTGCTGAGTACAGTTCTGACATGTGATTTATATCTTGTATTTCCAGCACATTTGTAGATTGTTAACAAAAAGTTGACAGAGCAAATACGTTTTTTATAGTAAAAAAAAAATTTGTATGGATGTAAATAATTTAAACTAAATAAAATGAATACTTTAATCTGATCTGGACCTATTTTTTTAACGTCATTTTCCATTTTTGGATGTAGGCTTAATCAGGACAGTATGTGATGTATGTATGTAGTATATAAATTGTTTCTTACATCTTAATTAAAAAAAAAAAATTAATTTGTCTAAAATATTAAACTACCATCATGATAAAATATATATGTATTTCTTCCTAATATGAAGAACAAACATAAATGTATATATTTTTATATCATTTTTCCTAAATAATACTTGGGTATTAATAAGTTTGATTAGGCAAGAAATTTATTTTCTTTAAAATTAAATAAAAAACACATTAAATAAAAAGTATAATCAACAGCATCTTCATCATTTTTATTGATAGGTAAATATTATATTATAGTAAATAAATTATAATAATAAATAAATTATATAGTAAATAATTATATCTAATATTATAATTTAATTCAAAACTGAATAAAATAATCCAATTATAACACAACTAATAAAAATCAGAATAATACAACTCAAACTCAAGCTTAATATTTAATACGTCCTCCCATTGTGATATTTCTACAGCATACTGCGATTCGGAGACAATATATTATTAACATTTACATTAATTATTTGTATTTAAACATTTATTTGCACGTAACAACTTTAGTATGTTGAGAATTATTGAATGAGGTTAAAATAAAGGATATGATATGTCAGGTATATTTTAATTTTAAATAATAAATTAAATTGATGATCTACTGATGATAAATACTATGACAGGTGCGGATTGTTTTTCGAAGTGATAAAAAATTGATAAAACTGATATAAGACAAATGGTTCATAATTTCTTCCAGCAATTACATAAATCGGATGGGCCGTTCTTGAAATGCATGCGTAGGGTTTATATACATTTGGACATTATTAAGGGAAAATAGAGCTAGAATTCATTGAAATTTATATAGAAAACTGAATACCAACCCGCAGAATTCATCAAGTTTCGGATTTACGATGACAGGAGTTCATGTGAGTCCATCTATAGATGAATTTCACAGACAATACAGATAAATCTTCATCTTAACGTCCGAGACTTTGTTTGGATGTGAAAATTTTCAATTTTATGCATATTTTTTAAATTTTCTACACGATTAACAAGTTCTCCCTAACAACGGCATTATGAAAACAAAAGATTTGAAAATGATTTAAAAAAAACGACTTATTTATCATAAAATGAAAGTCTGTATATGCATCCTGATTACATTTGGTCACAAATTATACTTTAACGTTGTTTAGGACTTACTTGGACTTACTTGGTTAGTTAACTTACTTGGATAATTCGACTTAATCACGACAAATCCAAACAAATAGCATTTACTATTAGAAAAACCATCTGCCCTACAGTTTACAAAACAATCAAATATCACAAACGGACACGGTACTTTATCTTGGACTCACCTTCAACAGAGCGATGACATGAGGATTGCATGTAAATATAAAACGTAAGACATTTAACAAACGACTAAAAATATTTCACCGTCTTTTTTTTAGAAATTCTAAATTGAAACTGAGACAGAAACTGAATACATATACATACTTACTAAAACTCATATGGATACACTCATCAAAAATATACGGTATCGCTAAAAATACCCACATACAAAAACTTGAAACCTTCCAATCAAAATTATTATAACATATAACAAAAGAACCATGGCACGTGACTAAGAAAGTATATTAAAAAAGCGTTTTTAAAAACAAATATTAAACTTTTATTTAAAAAAAAAATTGTATTTCCGTATATATAAAAGTTGTATATGATTTTCTTGTACAAACGTTAAAAATTTGGCTTTTAGTAATACCGATATAAAATATTTTGGTCTGATGGAGATAGATATTTTAAAAAGCTATAATTAATTTTATATTATACCTCAATTAAAATATTTAATACATTTTTTCAATTGATGACATCTAAAACGGTTGAACTATAATTTAAAATAATTGAAAGGTACATACATAGATGTAAATCTGCCCTGTGTCCTTCATATGGCCATATGCCATTCATTCCTTATATCTTAAGCATGTCGATCCTTTCATGGAATATAAAACGGTTGAGATGAAATGTCAATTAATTAACTTTCTGATAGGTCCTTATTGACAATTAATTATTACCATTCTCATCTACTTACGGTAATTGGAACATTAATAGACAACATTGTCGTTAAGGACAGCTGATAAAAGATAAAGACACAGCTGATGGCTTGTCAGTTGAGTACAAGCCAGCCAACTAGAATGGGTTATCTTGGTCCCATTGCAGACTCTGACATCATCGATGGTCTCAGTGTTAAATATCTCAAATTCTTCGGACTCTGGAAGGTCATCAATGACTACAGGATCGCAGGGAAGAGGAACGCCATTATAAAATTCACAGTGCTCATTTCATTTGTTCTCGCAGTCCCCTATGTTTTATTCCAATATTTGAGCTATTCCTATATAAAAGTCGACCTACAAAAGGCAACGTTTTTAAATCTGTATCCATTACCAGCTCTACAAATGTGCTGTAGGATATTGGTCTTCTGGTTCCGCATGGACAGGCAATGTAGGCTTTACAACTTGCTGAAAAAGGATTTCCTATATATTCCAAAAGATAAACGAGAAGTAATCGGTGCTGTATATAGAAAAATCAGTAAAACTTCGAATATTTGCTGTACGGCGTCCATGATAGTGAATTTTAGTATTATAGGTCTGTATATATTAAACCCGGGTATATCGGTTGATTACATTCTGTATCACACCGGGCAGATGGATGCTGTGACTACTGGAAGGAAGAAGATATTGGGTGGTTGGTATCCTTTACCAATGGCGGAGACCCCGTACTACGAAATTATATTTGCTTACGAAGCCACTTGCGTAACCTGGGCAGGGATACTTCTTGCAGTGTATTTTTGTCTATTTTTTCAAGTTTTGATTTGTCTTTATGCTCAATTTACGGCTCTTGGGGTTCACGTTTCTACCCTAGAAGCAAATTGCAATCAAAGGAGATACGATCCAGAACATGATTCAAGAATGTTCAAAGAACTGAATCAAATTCTTCGGGACCACCAAAAGCTACTAAGGTATCATTTTAAAATAAAATAATCAATTTTAATAAAATTATTAAAAAAAAATAACTTGTTTTTTTATATTTTAGATATGCTGATGAATTGAAGAGTGTCTACAACCCATTGGTCACTTTGACTCTTGGAATGGGAATCCTGATTTTGATTATAGGTGCTATACAGTTTCTTCTAGTAAGTTACTGAAAGAATTAAATTTATATGGGCGATGAAGGAAAGATAAGAAATTTATTATATAATGAATTTGTTAGGGGAAATCAACTAGCCCCGGTTTCATCTTTAAGCTCTTCCAAGTCTTTATATTCCAAGGAGTGGAAGTTTCCATGTTTTGTTTTGGTTCCTCGTTTATCGAATCGGCGGTAAGTAACGCAGAAGTTTTATTCAATAATTTGCTGCAACAACGTCATAACTCGAAATAACAATTATTGACTTGATATCAAAGGGTATCTTACAAAGATAAGAAATTTATAAGAACTATAGTAAAGATTATCTTTTTTTTTTTTTCTTTTTTTGTTAAAATATATCTGAAAATTATTAATTGGTTTATTGAAATTAAAAAAAATATATATTATTACACAGTATATACACAATATATACAGGGTAATTTGTAGTTGCAGGCAGTATATAAGCTATGCGTTCACTAACACAAAATAAACAATAAATTTCATATTAACATATATCTCGAAATCATTTCTTAAACAGATATCAAAGGTTAAAGATTTATTATTTATTATTACGATTTATTTATTATCATTACAGCATTTAGTAACTGTTCAAAGGGGCATATGTTTCGTTAAATGAAACATCCAGCTCGACAAATTCATGCTGGCTCTTCGTATAGCACCTGGATCAAACCTCAAACGTTTTACGATTTGGTCCTAAACAGCTGTCATAAATGGGTTAAATATTGGCAAAACTATTTTATTAAAAGTCTAAAAATGATGTAACCTACACAATTTTTTATATCCAGTTGTATCTTGTCCGTTTTAGTCCTGAAGAAGACCTGCAAAGTCTGGTCGAAACGTTGGCTTTTAATAAAATAGTTTTGCCACTAAAAGAGAAGGGTTTTAATAAAATAGTTTTGCCACTATTTCGGCCTTTAATAAAATGGTTTGGCCACTAAAAAAAGGCTTTTAATAAAAAAGTTTTGCTACTAGTTAGCCTATTTATGACCGCCACACCGGACCATCTCCTTCTTTTATAATGCAACGGTCAACTATGCAATATTCAATCAGTTTTACGATTTGGTATTCTTCGGTCAGGAAATTTTCTGTGTAACTCGCCATAAGTTATAAGCATGTCCATTTGTTCTGCAAAAGGGAATAAATTTATGGTGTGTACCATAATAATCATAAATTGAACTGTGTCACAGTATTCACTCACACTAAAACATACATAACTAGACAAACAAATAAGCAACTACTGTCATTGCTTATCGTTCATTTGTTTTTTTTTTGTTGATTTCAGGTGATTAAAACCTGTTAGTATTAAACACGTTAAACTTTGTACAGTCAATCTTAATGTTGTAAATAATTGATATCTGTTTAATAAATAAGTTTGAGATATATGTTAATATGAACTTTTTTGTTTATTTTGTGCTAGTGAACACATACCTAAAATAGCAATTACGAAACATCCAGTATATATCTATACAGTAAAAACATGTGAAGTTATAATGTAAATCAATGTATTAACTTGGAAGGAAGCTATCCATTGATAGTAATTAATATGACTTCAATTAATACGGAATTTAAAACTAATGCATCTCTCCTGAAAATTCGTTTATTTGGAGATATGGCCTTGTTGCAGAAAACCAGTTATTATACTTAAGGCTTATTTACAGTTTTATAACAATCATAATCTTTGAAAATATATTTACCTCCACATTGCTAATTCGGACGGTAGACGCGTCCCAAATTAGTGGTGTATAGGTGTATTCGTTTCCGCACCCTACGATAATCTAACTAAGTTTTACAATGAATTGACTATTAAAATATTTTTCACAACATGTTGCCCGAGCTGGAATATTCCAATGTATTAGTATTTAAAAAAAAAATTGGGATGTCCTCTATTGATCCACAACAAAATCTTCAAGAACTTAAGGCACTAGAGTCTACACAAATCGGAACATATTTTGTTCGGAAAAAATTCCGAACTTCGTGAACGAATTAGAATTAATGATTTCCGGCCGTTAACTAAACATTCAATGTCACTATTCAGTTTCAACGTAACCACAGCTGTTGGAAAGCTGAATTATGTTTTTAATAACCCATATCAAAACATTTAGATTTTATTTCTTTATAAGGTAGAAAAAGAAACTACTCAGGCGTTTTTGTTTTATATCTTTTGTCATGTATACGGAGGTTGGGTTTGTGTCATTTCATCAAGCCTATAGAGTTGAAGAGAATTAATTCAGCTTTGTAAAGATTGTATGAAAATTGAAATTGGAGATGAATATAAGGAGCTACAAATGTTTTAGTTAATGATAGGAAAAAATATTCTAAATATTTAAGTAGTAAAGCCAGAATATTCGTATTTATATATGAGTTTAAAAAAGACCTAATATTACTTGTGTTTTCGTAAAACAAATTTACTGTGCATATTTTTTGAAACAATTTTTTATTTATGTAATTTATGATACAACTCATTTAATGCTAGCGGCAAGATTGTTTCAAAAACAATGTAACATAAGATTTCGCATACAGAAAGAAATCGATTGGTATATATCAACCTAGAGATCTGGTAAAGTTTTTTTTTCCTTTTTCTCTTCACATTTTTATCCATACCTGGCACTTGAAAATAAGCAGATGTGATGTTAAAGTAAAGGAATTTGGCATTTTAGGCATGAGGAAGAATAGTACCCAGCAGCACCTCTTCCTGGTGCTGGTATATATATATATATATATATATATATATATATATATATATATATTATATATATATATATATATATATATATATATATATATATATATATATATATGACCACCTAGCTGTCAAAATGAAATGAAATGAAGACTATTAATAGATTATTTAAACTAATTTACTAGCTTTTACTCAAATTTTCAAAATTTGCAAACTGGCCTAAGGTTTGCAAGAGAACTGAAATAAATGTCTAATATTTTTCGAAGTAGAATAAAAACAAAAAATTGATTGAAAAAGGTGACACTGTAATATACCCATAACAGTTCAGATTTTGAAAATTTGAGTAAAAGCTAGTAAATTAGTTTAAATAATCTATTAATAGTCTTCATTTCATTTCATTTTGACATGCAGTCCTTATGTCATTCTTCAGTCAA